CACAAACCATTCCAGACAGCACAAAGGTGAGTAGCACAAATGCCGAGCCCACCAAGAAGCAGAGACGCTGCCGCCGAGCTCACTGATCTGTCACCCGCGATTTTCCCGAGCTCGGGGGCAAAGAAGAGGTAAGCTCGGCCGAAGCCAAAGCTCCCCTCCTCTCGGTTCCATCCCCCCTGTCTTCCGAACTCCTGGCAGTCCCAATGCCTAAAGACTTCAAGCTCCCCCCTCTCGACAAGTATGATAGGTCGTTTGACCCGAATGATCATGTAGATGCCTTCTAGTCACAGATGCACCTGGCGAGAGCCAGCGAGTCGTGCATGTGCGTGGCCTTCTCCACCACTTTTAGAGGAGTAGCCCGTACATGGTACTGGAACTTGGCACCTGGATTGATAAGAAGTTGGGCGCAGTTCGCGCARGCCTTCACGTCCCACTTCGTCACCAGCAAGCGGTGCCCGCGAACTGAAGAAAGCCTCCTCAACATAGTGCAGAGAGAGGGAGAGTTCATCCGGGGCTATATCAAGCGGTTCAACGATGCTTGTATGCAGATACTGCGCCTGGACCCCGCCGTACGCCTTGCAGCAGCCAAGAGAGGCGTGACACACAAAGAGTTCAAATGGCACATGGTCGTCAATCAACTAGCGACCATAACCGAGTTTCTGAAGCTCGCGGACAGGTTCATAGCCACCGAGGAGGAGATCAACCAAAAGGGCGAGGGCGCGCCCGAAAAAAGGAAGAGAGGAGAGCCTTCCAGTCAAGGAGACAGCCGAAAGAAAAAGGATACAACTCGGGGGGCAAAGCCGAGTCAATCGTTCCGAGCTCCTGTAGCGGAGTGAGCTGATTACACCCCACTGAACGCGAAGCGGGCCGAAATCCTGATGGCGATCAAGGACGCCCCGTACGTGAAGTGGCCACCTCGTCTGAGGGGGAATTCCAATGAGAGAAATAAGAATCTGTATTGCAGTTTTCACAAAGATCACGGTCGCAGTACGGAGAGTTGTAAAAACCTCCGCGACGAGATAAGAGGAGCTCATCCGTCGCGGATATTTGAGAAACTTTGTACAAAATAATAATAACAATAGTAATAAAACAGGTCGGCAAGGGGAGCACGGTAAGGATGCTTCCGAGTCCAGCAGCAGGTCGGCCGAACAACCGCAGAGGCAGCCTCCGGAGGAGAGGCCAGTTCGGGGGACCATCCACATGATAGTGGGAGGTTTGATCGTTGCGGGTTGCACTTCAGCAGCAACTCGGACGCCAGTTCATGAGGCCACCCGGGAAGAGCAGAATATCCCAAGCGGCCGAGGACAGAAGAGCCAATTTTCTTCACAGAA